GCCATAACTTTCCGCGACCAACTTTTTTTTTTGGTCGCCAAAAGGTGATCTTCCGCGACCAAAAAAGCCTTTGGTCGCCAATAGTATACTTTCCGCGACCAACTTTTTTTTTTGGTCGCCAAAAGGTGATCTTCCGCGACCAAAAAAGCCTTTGGTCGCAAATAGTATACTTTTCGCTACCAACTTTTTTTTTCGGTCACCAAAGGGTAATCTTCTGCGACCACAAAAACCTTTGGTCGCCAATAGGTATACTTTCCGCTGCCAACTTTTTTTTTGGTCGCCAAAAGGTGATTTTCTGCGACCAAAAACTTGTGGTCGCCAAAAGTGAAATTTTAGTCGCAGAAAGTGGACTATTTGCTACCAAAAAAAAATACGTGGTCGCCAAAAGTGTTTTTTCTTAATCAATTTCAATGTAAGAAGCAATAAATATAAACAATTACCTGGAGCAACATAGCCAATTGTTCCTCTAATCTCAATTGAACTTGATTGCTGATGATTGGATATTTCAATGGTTGTTGAAAAAATCTTTGCCAAGCCGAAATCACCAACATGGGCACACAAATCACCATCAAGAAGAATATTACTTGGCTTCAAAAAACATTGAATAAAAGCCATTTCACAATGATGGTGAAGATAATCCAATGCAGAAGCCACATCAATGGCAATATTTAGCTTTTGAACAAAGTTTAAGTTTTTAGGTTCCTGTTGCTCTGAAAGACTTGTGTGTAACCAACTCTCTAAACTCCCATTTTCCATGAATTTGTAGACCAAAGCCTTGAAATCGTTGCCTCTAAAATCAATGCTTGAGCAAGATGTGATTATCTTGACAAGATTTTGATGGCGAATGTTTTTCGGTGTTTCACATTCTGTTAGGAAACTCTTGTTTGCTCCATGTTCATGAAGCTTGAGTACCTTCACAGCAACAATTTGCTCACCAAAGTTGATAATCCCTTTATAAACATAATCATATCATCCCTTGCCAATTAAGTTGGTTGAAGAGAACCCATTTATTGCTAGAAAAAGTTCCCCAAAAGATAGTTGTGGATATTGGTTAGGCAAGGGCAAGGCTGGAGTGGCTTCATGTCTTGACCTTCTGTTCGATAAAGAATAGCTAAAATGCACAATGACAACAGAGCAATGGTGAGAGTAACTAGTAGAACAATGGTGATTGGTAGAAGGTAGGGCCACGTGGTACTCAATTGGCAAATAAAAATTTCTCAGAATCTTGGGTTTCTATGACATTTAATCTTTGATTCTTTGATTGTATTTGTATTTGTGGTTGTGTGATACTTTGATTCTGTGTTCTGGGTTTGTAACTGATTGGTTTTGTTTAGATTTATGAAATCTGAATTGTTGGGTTTCATAGATTATTACCTCAATTGAAGCATATCTTTCTGAGTGGAAATTCCTGCCCTTTTGGTTTTCTTTTGGATTTGGAATACCCATTGTTGAAGGATTTTCTTGTTTGATTATATTTGTAAAGCACAGTGACTGTTTTCTTCATTTTTGGTGTATCCATGTTTGATTTTCTTGTTTGAAAAGTTGGTTTGCGTTAGAAGAGATGAGATGGAGGGGGTTTGGGCATTTCAGAAATATTGAAGAGGGAGAGAGAGAGAGAGAGATATTTGCGTTTGAAGGCTTGGGCGAGTGGGCTGCTTTTGAGACAGAAGGTTGCCACCTCACTCAGGCTAATTCAGACACCATTCATTGTGTGGATAAAATATTATTGAATAACCCATGACCCAAAATTTGGGAACTATTTGCATATTTTACCCGTTTAGATTTGTTTGGGCCAACATGATATATGGCATAGATTCAATTGCTGAAGATTAATTTGAGATAAACTACATTTATGATTCTTAAAGCATGCATTTCGTGTCATTTTGGTCTTTCAATTTTCATTTTGTCAATTTGGTGTTAAAATTTTTAATTTGGGTCACTTTGGTCCAATTTCAAATGACTCGGCTAAATAATTAATGAAATGATAATAAAATACACGTACGATTCCTAAAGTATGTGTTTCGTGTCACTTTGGTTCTGAAGTTTTAAATTTTATCAATTTAATACCAAAATATTGATGAAAACATGAAATATATACTTACAATATTGAATGATGAAATTGACAAAATTGAAATTTTAGAGACTAAAATAGTACAAATATTTTTCGGACTACAGTTGAAATTTATAATTATTTTGTTAGTGATTTAAACGATGGCTTCAAATGAAATTAATTTGTTTGAAATAAAAAATTTTACAGATGAAATTTATAAAATTAAAATTAAAAGGTTCAATTATATAAATATATAATAAACGTCATGAGAATGAGAATGAGAATTCCTTTCCACCAATTACAATCATGAATGTTACTAAATTTATGTTGACTTAAAAGTCTTTATTTATATATCTATATAATAAGATAGGAAAGTTTTTAAAATATATCAAAATGTTAAGAAATACATTTTATATTAATGGCCGAGATGATTCCTAATCAAAATTAATCAAAATTAATGGTCAGATTTGTTTGGCTCAAAATATGTTTCCCATCCATCTCTCCTCTCATCTCACCACTTCCGCCCATCTCTCCTCCCTTCTGTCACTACTTCTGTCATTGTTCATCATTCCACTACTCTCTCCCTCTCCCTCTCCCTCTTCTCCCCACCTCTCCATAAATCATAATGATTTTATGTTAAAAAATGTTTGTAGGAAAAAAAATTAATTATTGAAGTTGAACCTAAAATTTAAATAAATTAAAAATTAAAAAAAAATGTTTCCTTTTACTAAGGAACGCAACGTTATTAGAAATGTTTATTTATTAAAAATGTGACTACCATTTTTTTTTTATAAAAAAAGTGGTATCATTAGAAATGTTTATTTATTGAAAACCGTACACTACAAGAAATAAGGGCTTTGGCAACGTTTTTTTAACGGCGTTTTCTTAAACGTCATTTTTATTAATATTTAACGACGTTTTAAAAACGTCGCATATTTGTTTAATTAAAACGACACCGTTTTATGATCAAAGGCGTTTAAAAACGCCTTCAAATGCGGTACGTCACACGCGCCTATTTTGAATCTGATAATATAGCCTTTGTAAACCCTTAGGTCTTCAGACCTCTCAATCCTCTCTAAACCCTTATCCTCACATCGCCTCTCTCTCAATCCTCTCTAAACATTAAATCTCACATTCAAATCTCACAGATTCACCAATTTCGAAGCTCTACCTCCACCGCCATCTGCACTGGCGAGGTAGCGAGATTCATCGATTCACCAATTTCATAGATTCACCGATTCAAATCTCACAGATTCACCGATTTCAGATCAATCTGCACCGCCACCGCGATTTCGATTCAGATCGGTCTGCACTGCCACCCCGATTTCGATTCTCTCTCTAGATCTCTCTCTCAGAGATTCATCTTTGATTTCATCTCAGAGCGATTTTGATTTCTCTTCTCTCTCAATTTCAAAGCTCCACCACCACCACCATCTATGCAAGCTTCCATGGCTTAGCCCCTCATCTTCTTATCTCTTCCACTTTGTATATACATATACATATATGTATATTTATCGATTCTCTCATGTACATACACGTATCTGTATAGACACCGATCAATAATGGAGCAGAGCTTCTTCAATTTGATCTATTTTCTACACTGCCCAGGCCTCCCTGAGACGTTCCTTGATGCTTTACTCTCCTCAGTCCCGATTTGGCTCGCTGTCATGATTGGCCTTGTTATCGGTTGGTCCTGGCGCCCTAGGTGGACCGATTTGGCTCGCTATCATTCCTCAAGGATTTTTAGTTGTTAATGATATGATATGAATGTTTTCAGCTGATTTACCCGCTAGATAAATTCTAATTCTAAGCAGTCTGATGTTCAAAATTTTATTTGTTAGATAATCATAAAGTTGGCTTTCACCTTATTACATGGAGTCTAAATGTTGTCATTTTTGGATTTGTAGACTGTTGTTCATCGAAGTTTTGCAGTAGCAGATAATCTTGGTGAAGTTTCTGCAAACGCACAGGTTATAGATTTCCTATCATATGCAGTGTATTGTGCTTTGTATCTTATTTATATAACTGAAATGATCTTTGGTTGGGTTTCAGATTCAAACAGTGTGCTTCGATAGCCTTGGTCTTATGCTTGCGCCTTGAACATTTTGTTCAGAAACAATCTAAGGTTTTTGCGCCTTGAACATTTTGTTCAGAAACAATCTAAGGTTTTTACTTTTCATCTTCAGATTTTAAATAAGTTCCATAGTGCCACTGTTAATCTTCATCAAATTGATATTCTATGATCATCCCAGCCTTTTGTGATAGCTAAGTTGACCATATTGTACATCTTACTGCTGCAATTCAACATTGTAGAATTCTTTTCCCCTGTTTACATTATATTGCAATATGTTTAATATTGATTAGTTTGCTAAAAATTTCTATTTTATATAACCTGTGCTCCCCATGAATATGTGATTGAAAGGTATAAAAAATTTATGACTTTTTAACTGATGTGATGTATCCAATTTGCTGATGTGATTATGGCACTTATACTTTACTTGGCTCCCTAACTGATAATTTTTCATTAATATGAAAGGTTGCAAGCAAGTTTGCCTTTTGTTGTGTGCCCAATCTTCTCAGCAATCGACCTCATTGGAGTTTATCAAGGTTTGAAGCATGTTCATCTGCAGACATTAACTAAGGTTGGTCTTTTATGCTTGTACTAAACTAACAGTCATTCTATTGACATTATTGGGTGTGTATATGAGAACTTCAATAAAGGTGTTGCTCACATATTGAGACTACTTTGTGTTTTTAAAGAATGTAAATTTTGCTCCCTATTTGATGAGTTCCCCTCATGTACTATCTCAAGTTTTTGGCTTTAGTCTCCCATATGTAAGTTGTGCCTGACAAGCTAATGCTCAAAAAATGTTTTATTGATAGATTCCTAAAAATGTTTGGATATCATGCCTCCATTAGATAACTTGTTTATGTATTACGTTCTCATGATTTTTTTTTTCCTTCATTAATCAACCCTTTTTTTTTGGTTGTCTTGCTATCAAAATTCAAAACCAGTTTCAATGGATAATCAGTAATTACTGTGCCATTGCCTGCAACAAACCACATGATTTTTACTGTGCCATTGCTTGCTTCAAGCCACCCACAGAAACAAATTCCCCAACTCCTTTGTGTGATGTTCTTGGAAATGAGTCCCCGTTGGAGTACATATTCTCCAACAATGCTCCATTGTTTCAGGGATGAAGGAAATGTCTGTATTCTCTTTAGAATGCTTTGTAGTATTGCTTCTTATTATCCATTTCTCGTTGTCAAGATAGGCTTGAGATTATAATTAATACTTGGATTCAGTCGGGATGTATCCCTTCACTTGCAAATGTGAGTGAAGAGGAAGGTATTGATTTCATGTGGAACAAAGGTGAGGTCTTGCACCTTAATTTTTCCATAAATATGTTTATTGCTTTTATATGGGGTGCTTTAGAATTGGATATTGGCATTTAGTGAGATTTGGATTAGGTAGAGGATCGTGGCCCATAAGAATTGGTTGCTTAAACCCCAAAAGTCAATTACCAAGGTTGCCGATGATGACTATGCGATCTTTGAATAATGAAGACTTCTATTTCATATGTCCGAAGATCCTTTGCAGTGGAATGGCAAAAACTTGGCAAGTGAGTATATTATGATCTGTCTGGCCCTCCTTCCTTACCTTGCTTATGATCTGTCTGGCCCTGTAGTTTGTGCATTTGGGTTCTTCTGCTACTTTCCATAAATTGGTTTATTCCACTATTTCTTGTGTTTAATTATTCTGTTGTTAACGTGTGTTTAGGTCAAGAATTCAAACAGAGCATCGGTTATCAGTTATTGAGGTACTCTTTTCTGGATAATGTTGTTACCTGTATATTTTTTTTATTGTTGTACCTTTTCCACACCAAAAGATTCATGTTCTCTACTTTTCCTTCTAAACCCGTATCAAAGATTCACCTTTTCTCTCTTAAAAATCACAGGTGTTCCTCTGTTTTTGATGCCAATATCCACACACCAGGTTTTTCCCATTTAAATCCACATATATGTGTCTCTTTGTGTTTTTATGTATATATTTTTGTTTGAAGGGTTATTGAGAGTATGGTGTTTTGAATTGCTTTAGTTTCTCAACTTTATGGGGAGATCCTAAAAGAGAATGGTATTGACTTGGCAGAAATGAAGGTTTTGAGGAGGAAAATGGAGGAGATAGCAATCTCTGTAAAGCAGGGCAGTACTACCACTTAATTTGCCCAATTAGTTAAAAGTACATTAAACATGGTGTGTTATATATTTGTTTATTAAAAGAGAAGAAAAGTGGATTGGATCATTCTTTTTTCTTCCAGTATAAATGTTTATTTATGTTTTGCTTTTCTTTTTACTGTAGTGCAAAGGTGGGGATTCAGAGGAGAAGAGCTTATCCCTTTATATCACTGCAAATGGGTAAATTGTCCGTATTTCTTTTATTATTTTTTTCTGTTTTCTTGCTTGGCAAAACCATATATACATGCAGTAGCTGCAAGTAATGGATATTTTCCACCAAACATCTCATCCACATCTCTGTCACTAAACCTTATTTTAGATTGGAGACATAGACTCTTTCGGTACGATAGACAACTTCTTTATTTCAATCCATGAATACAAGAGAAAGAAATGCCTTCATTTAAAGTTGCCTTTATTAATCCTAACTTATAATTTTCTCAAGCGAACGATGAATCATGGGTTATTTTTAGCAGCTGAAAATCCTTCTATTTTGATTTTTGTTTCTAGGCTCATGTCCCCACAAAGTAAATTTACATATCATGTAAAAGGTTTTGAAACTAATAGAGAACACTAATATAGTTTCCTATAAATAAAAAAAATTATCCTGATCTGATCCTAAGTTCCTGTTTATTTGATATTAATTTCTCCTTTGATTTTTCAATTGAGAACATTGACTATTTTTTTATGATTGTCCAATAAACAGAAGGAAAATACTACTACTCTAGTACATATATTGTTTGTTTATTTTTTTCCTTTATTGGTAACAAATGAAATTTTATTAAAGAAAATAAAAAGCAGAATCCCCTTAAAAGGAGGAGAAATCGACGCCTAAAAGGAGGACAAATATCCCATAAAGAATCAATTTTCTCGAACTTATACACTCTAGTACATATATTGTTAAAGGAACTAATCTCATGATTACTCTTGATCAGATTAAATTGTAACGCCCTCAAAATTAATCTATTATATATCATTGACATGCATTATTTAAAGAAGACATTTTATTAATTCATTCATCAGAGTATTACTAAATAATCAAATAAAATGCCCTACAGGCTTACATCTTTCCAAGCCAACACTTGGTTACAAAAATACGAGTTCTAACTCAATACAAGAAAAGCCCTAGGCTTGAGTTTTTACATGTACTAACAAATAAAAGCAAACAACAGAAAAATAGTCTTCGGAATCCAAGTCCTTCCAAGCTAAGTCCTTGGAGGTAGCTTATCCCCTGAACCTGAAAATGATGTTCCCATAAAGGGTGAGCCACAGCCCAGTAGAAATATACTAAACCACATATAAGCAATGAATAAAGCAATAGCATTCAACAGATGGTCAACCAAAATAATCAATTACTTCATTTTACAGTCTCACGACACTATTGCCAAAGATACGTTTTACTTTCCAATTTTATCAACATGGCTCAGAACCTGGCCAAACTTACAACAGTGAATCACATATATCATATTCACATCCTTCCAATATCAACAAACAAATGAGACTCAAGCTCAAATCAAAACACTTCATACTTCCAGATTGATACACATTTTAGTGCTGTATCAATAAAACACTTCTAAAGTGCTTCGGCACATCGAAAAGGAGTTGCCAACCAGATGTTCCGAGATGTCCCCATGACCATACACAATGATTGTTCCGATTGCTGACCAAGTATTCAGCAAGTGTAGAACAAAAGGGGTTGCCGCACAAGTGTTCTCGGCAAGACAAACCCAGAGAGAAGGCCGACCAAGAGCTTTTGGCAAGTGAGAAACAAAAACAAAGTTGCCGACTCAATGTTGCCCAGTTGACACAATCTTGTAAAACCATATCTAACTCAATAACATTCTTCGGCCAAACCACTCAAGTTCTTCGGCTTTCCATTAAACCAGTTGGGTTTACACTAGAAGAACAAGTTTTTCAGCAAGGGTTGTTCGGTAAACAAACAATCAAGTTGTTCAGCAATCCAACAAGGCTGCTTAGTAACTTTATAACCCCCATTTATATTCAAGTTTTGGGCAAATGTATAATTTCAAACTGTGAGTATTACGTTTGGAAAAAGTACAATAAGATTTTTTTGAGGAGATAGGGGATGGACTCCATTAGCACCACTATATGTGTGCTTATTGATTTCTGGAAGTGTTTTTACATGTTGTTGATACAGCACTAAAAATGTATCAATCGGGAAGTATGGAAGTGTTTTGGTATGAGCCTTAGTCTCATTTGTTTTGTGGATATTGGAAGTAATATTAATGTGATATATAGTTCACTGTTATAGTTTGGCCAGGTTCTGAGCCATGTTGATAATAATGGAAAGTGAAAGAGAATTCAGAGTTGTGGAATGGAGACATGGTAAGAGACATTTATTGTCCCAATAAGACCACAAGTTCTAGGACGCACCGAAGACATTTAGAGATTGCCGAATCCCCGTACAACTTCGCCATGAGTGCAAAACGATAAACCCTTTGACGCACCTTCAAGCCCACGTACCCCTGCTACCGCCTATTACGTCGCCGAATGTGCTACCACCTGCAGTTCTGAAATAGCCCTCAAATAAACGCAAAGCCAAAAATCCCAAAAAGAACCCAGCTACTACAGATCAAACACATAAATAATACCCTATATCTACGAAGGTCCTTAAGCACTCATGCGGTCCCTATGCATTCCGTGTAGCTTGTTAAATACGCCTTGTTATTAGGCCGTGTCATTGCCTCGTGAGAGAGCCCATACGCCCTTTACTTGTTGAACACCCTTCTACCATGCTTTGTCTGGTCTGTCAGCCACCTTTTAAGGAAAAACTAACCAGTCGCCGCCACGTGTCTCAGTAGAGGGTTAACCCAGAACCGGTAAAGAAAAACTATCATTTGTATCATAACCTTTCCTTGTAGAGAGAGAAAACTCTAGGAGGAAGAAGGAGTTTTAGAGTGAGGAAGTAGATCTTCAAGCTTGATTCCTAGAGATCGAACCGTTAGATCCGTGTTCTAAGGTTAGATTCTTGATCTGCTCATGATGTTCTTTATGTTCATGTTATTGCATTGCATGATCGAATATGATTGTAAGCCATGCATTGTTTTGAAGTTCGGATTTAGAAAGAGAAAATGACATTCATGTGTTCTTCAAGAAAGTCTTGTTTGATCCGAAAGCTTGCATAAAGAATCGTGTTTTTGTGTTTATTTCCGCAAGAA